TTTCATGAATTTCTATTGTCATGTCAATTTCTTGTGATTACTCGGAAAATGAAGCTGTAACCACAGACCACAGTGCTGCAACTAAATCCTGGTATAAGCACCGGTTAGGCAGTCTTGAACTATGCATGTGAAGCCAGCTGAGAGGTATATCCAATCCTATAGATTTCTCATTGTTTGGTAACTATTTGCTGCAAATGCAACAAAAATCAATATAAAAAAAATATTACCCACACAGCATTCTACAGGTTACTTGTCACATCTAGTATCTGGTCATAATACCCTTGGGTTAGGTATTTTTTAGGTTAGGTTGTGTTTAACTCAGCATTTTAATCTGCATTTCTACGCAGAACAGCAACCTTCCACATGGGTAGAAATTATAACAGTCATGTTTTTAGCTCCGCTGTCATCGAAGATGACCGAGCGGAGCTCATGGCTTGAGTGGACTCGTCATCGTCTGTCCGTCGTACGTCGTCCATCAACTTTTTTTCAAGCGACTTCTTCTTCCAAACCGTAAGCTATCGCCTTGCTATTTATAGTACAGCTACATGAGGTTGTCCTCTGTCAGATTTGTTCATGTTATGACATCACATCCAAATCTCTATTTTCGTGAATATTTATTTTTGTCTAAGTTTATTCGGCCAAGCCTCTAAACAGATCTTGGCAGAACGACCATCAAATATGCGTATTTCTAACAGCGTCCCCAGTAGTCAGTTGCGGCTGATCATTGTCCAATCAGTTTGCGTGTTACAAATCCCTCTTTGGCGTTTCATTTTAAACAAAATGGCGGCGCCCATGAATCGTTTTAAATAATGAATATATAATTTACACATGACACCCATATAATAAATTGTGAATCACTCATTTTTTTATTTTTATTATTTTAAATGTATTACTGATCAACATCACTATTATAAACAATTGTTTGTACCAAACTTCACTATTATGTTGCTTCCGCCACACAGCTTGTCTCCTCTTAAGCACAGTCCCTCTATCATATGATAGAGGGACTGTGTCTTAAGAAATAGAATTGTACTGTTCATTAGTGATACATGTGGAGTACCGTGGCGATTACTGTAATTGTGGGACTCTAGCTAGATTATCTAGGATTAAAAACCACATTTTCATAATATTGTATTCGTACCACCAGAAATATGGTTTTACTATTGTGGCATATTGACCATCTTTGCCAGGTTTATACTTAGTAATACTATTTTTTTGCTCATGGCTATTGTCCGCTAACATTCGAGTGGTATTGTTTTATTTTGTGCACTATCCTTATTCGAAACAGTACCTGTTTACTAGTTTCTTTCTTCTCGGCAATATTCATTTGCTAGGTGAAGACTGTTTTTTAGAACTAGATTGTTCTCACTATTTAAAAAATTATATATTTTATTTTAAAAAGATGTATATTTCTTAAAGAAACGACACCGTTGATTCGAACCAACGATTTTGAGATCGACACACTGGATGAGTTTATGGTGGTGTACTATGATACGTATATGATTCAGTGCAGGTCATTGACCCAGTGTCATTCTATTCAAAATGACTTACGTAACACACGGACGACGAGATAGTGCACAAACCGCGATGGGGATGTAAAAACACTTCAACTCACAGTATTACCTTGTTAAAATACGGCAACCTCGTCCCAAACAGGCCATTAACTAGCGTTAGCTATCGTCCCCGATTTACCTGACAGTTAATTACGTTGAAAGTTGGTCGTTTTCAGCACATAGAATTTCATCGAACACAAACAACATGGCTAGAGAAACTGGTATAGAACTCTGGATATGAACAGTAAAATTAATATAATTATGCAAATTCCCAATATCAACTGTTTTGTTTATATTTCCAAATAATTTGATTGGTAATGATTGTAGAAATAATATTTAGTTTTTTGTTTCGTGTTTCAGCAATCACACAAAATATGCATCTGGACTTTCTGAACATGGCGAAGAAGTACGGTGACGTATTTACCATCAAGTTAGGGAGTCACCAAGTTGTTGTTCTCAATAATTATGAACTGATTCTGGAGGCTTTGGTAAAGAAGCAATTCGATTTTGCTGGACGCCCTCACACGTTTACAGGTGATATATATCTAGTAATAAAATAAGTCTATATAGTTTGTGTGAACACGCCCAGTATTTGATCTCGGCTTGTCAATTAGCCTTACGATGTCGCGTGAGTTACGCCCTCCGCGGTGCTCCAAACCGTGAGGTCTGATGCCGGTCGGCCGGCGAGGGCGCTACTACGCCCACTTGCGAATGCGATACTTTACATTTTAACCACGTCTTATGTTCAATATTTTGTTCGGTTTGTACAGGTGACATGTTTTCAGAAGGTGGACAAGATATCGCTTTAAGTGATTTTGGAACAACATGGAAACTGCATAGAAAGATTGCACATCAAGCCATTAGGTGAATACACACATGTAGCAATACTGCCACTAAGATACCGTGACTTGTTGAGATATGAAATACGGTGATCCTTTTCTAGCCAGTTCAATGTTAATGGTTAAGATATAGGGGTCTATCCTCTCTCCCAAGTTTAAAGTTACTGGTTGGAACATGGCATCCGCCCCCACGTTTTACTTGGCTTCTTGATATATGCCTCAGTGTTTGATACATAGAACAATAAATTACATTACATTACATTACATTACATTATTAACACTTGTCATCTATTTTGGGTTATTTTTGTTAAACATTGTCTTTCAAAATTCAATTTAGAAAGCCATAACAGCAAAGAATGGTTAAATAACTGAAAAATATAATTGTTTCCAGCCATATTGTTGAAGTGAAATCTTCACAGTGAATGAATTCAATCCTAAAATTGATGCACAAAGATTGTCTACAAAATGTTAGTTAAAATTATAATGATCTTTCAAAGTAACCAATAAACATCTATCAGTAAATCTGAGAGAAAGATAGCACAATAAATACATGTCATACATTACAGCATTCTGTATCTGACAACACTCCTTACATGAGATACACACGCGTGTTGGCTGTAATCTTTCATGGCTACTGAGTTATAGTATTAATTGTTATTGCTGTATGTTTTAGGGATTATGTCTCTGGAAGAAAACTCGAGCGCCTGATTCGCGAAGATGCATTTCCCCTGTTGCAAGAGATCTTAGAAGAGAACGACGGCAAATCTATTCATCCACGTCCACTCGTTCTCTTATTGGTTAACAACATTATGGCTCAATTTTGCTTTGGTCAGAAGTAAGTACAATGATTTTGATATAATTTCGGCACCGATAAATAATTTTGGAGCTAGATCCAAATAATTGATTATCTCTCAATAGTTCATATGATTAAGAGCCAATTGGTTTTTGCAACACAGCACTGGGGTCTACAAACCAACCAACGGTGAGGTGTCTGAAACTGATGAGTAGACTAGACAATAACATACAGTACTGTGTACTGTCATACACTTTATTCAAGACATTGATGGGAACTGAAGCACTTATAGATAGTCTGAACTATGATAGTTTCTTGGACAACTGTAGCTATATCAGAGGGTGCACATAATTATGAAAAGCTGTGAATTATTGTGAAGGAAGACAGCGCAGAAGCAAAATGTCCTCCTTAATAACGATATATTTTCCAGATACACACTTGACGACCCGGAGTTCAAATCGATAATGAAATTAGTAGATGATTTTGTTGAAATTGGCGGTAATGGGTTGGTGGCTGATATCATTCCATGGTTGGCTTACATTCCAACTAAAGGCGTTCGTGAAATACGGAAGATGACCGACGTCTTCCTGCGAATGATGTATGACAAATTTTATGAGCACAAGAAAAAGTTTGACAAAGGTGTGTTAATTGATTCCATTGTTGGATTTTATTGCAATTTTTCAAATTTCAAAGCATCATCCGGAATATGTTCTGTAGATCACATATTTACTCTTTACATCTATACATTGTAAATTAAGTCAGATTTACACAAAACCACGCGAATCAAATATTGTGATTCATTCATTCCACTAGTACTCCGATAAGCTGAAGCCTGTTTGAACACTTGGTAATATGTGAAATTTTATTAATATTGTTGTTTTTATGATTACAGACAAACTGCATGACTTGATTGACTATCTTCTCAATGTCCAACGTCAAGCCCAGGAAGACAAGACGGAAAACATCGACAGCTTAAATGATACCCGATTGGTTCAAACTGTTTCCGATTTATTCGGAGGTTAGTGTTGTCAGTTCATAATACTGTATGCTGCTTTGCAATATAGTAACTAACACAAACGCATTTGTGAATGAACTAAACTTTTCACTTTTACATTTTGGTTGAAGTAAGGTAATTTCTCGTATTCTTTACTATACGTTTAATGTGGCCATTCAGGATATATTGTGGCCGTCTCAACCAACTGTTGTCTGTGTTTATTCTTTTATTCTTCACTTTAGCCGGCATTGACACCACCACCCATACGCTAGACTGGGCAATAATGTTTTTGGTTCACCACCCGGATGTGCAGGCCAAGGTTGCCAGGGAGATTGATGACGTCATTGGTGGAGAGCAATTCCCGTTAATATCTGACCGACCTCGTATGCCTTATTGCGATGCTGTTATTCACGAAGTAATGCGCGTGCGTACTGTGGCGCCGATGTCAGTACCACACAAAGCAATGGTTGATTCCACCATTGGTAGGTTATGTTATATATGGCAATCAACAAAAGACATTTATACAACGCAAACTTAAGTCATTATATTATAGATAACCAGGAAACCAGGAATGGGTCTAAAATCTTTACTTATTCCAATATAGCTACCAAAATAAAGTAACAGAAACAAAAAATCGATTTTCACCCATGGTGCTTTATTTCTACTTTTTGGATTCAGTAACTTCCATTTCGTTGATCTGGTTACACGTTTACAACTGCTTCTCAATCTGCAGGTGGTTATAACATTCCAAAGGATACATGGGTAATGATCAACCTGTGGGCTGTCCAAATGGATAAAAAACATTGGGATAACCCGGAAGAGTTTAAACCAGGCAAGTATATCAAGTTGACATAAAGCTTTTCATGGCATATGGTTCGTGTGAAAACACTGGCTTAATTACATTTATAGACAGGAGGACACACTATCGTTGGCCATTCTGAGATATTTCATGTATTAATAACATTTCGTTGGCTGTAATATATATACCTATATATAACCTGATTTTAGGCAAGACCCGTTATTTTCGCCATCTACACTATTAGATTTGCATACATCACACATACTCAGTTCCTGACGAAATATTCTTATATCAATCTTATACTAATCTTATAAGATCTAATACAATTCTAATTACAATCCTATAAGTTTATTATTAGAATTGTGTATGCAAATGGTTTCTTATTATATAATTATTATAGAAAATGTATTTTTTCTATAAAATTCTTATAATTATGTTCACGCTATAGTTGAGATTCGAATGATTTACACTGGTTTATCTGTTTTTGCATTATATTGATATTGTATTATCGTTTTATTGTTGTGTCGATATGCAAGAGAAGACCTGTGACCCAGCCGTAAAATCAGGGAGTGGCACGAGAGGGCGCCGTTCAATTCGATGGATTTTTTCTAAGTCAGCCGTCCGTAGACTATCGTCTAAGCAACAGCGTCCCTTTTATAAATAGTAGAAATTATGTCAGTGATTTATTTACAAAATATACCTAGTCAACGAAACTTAGAAATATTACAGAAAAATGTACAAAACTATCGCGGCAAAACAATTCAGCCAACAACCACTTCGGCGCTGCTAGTTTCTTGAAGGAGTGAAAGCATTTTGGCACAATTTTACTGGAAAGACTGGTTTTTTATTGTTCATGAATATTATTTAATGCAAATTATACGATTATTTCAACCAATCGTGTCATACAACTCCCCCTACCCCGAACCCCTAGGCCAAAAAATATGACTTAAATCTCTAACTGAACTAAGATCACGCGACTCTGAGTATTGTCCATAGTGATTATGGGTGTGTAATCAACTAATCAACACAAGGAAACTTGTTACGAGTACTAATAAGAATTATTATTATCAAAACATTTTAATTTATTGCGCATTCTGCAAAAAATAAAATCGCCTTGAGGAAAGTGCTCGTTCATTGCAGCACTAATAGCGTTCGTTCCGAACATATGCCGTCATCCACGAACCCGCGGTTGCCAGCCGCCGAGCATGTCGTCTGTTTCGTAAATCGGTGTAAATGCAAGGAAACACAACTAAAAACATTGTATTTTTTACCCTTTTTGTATCGTCTATGCGCGGAAATGTTGTCAGAATTACCGAGAGTTTGTTGCAATATACTGGATACTAATATACTCGCCCATCAATGCATAGGGAGTTTGAATAGGAAATCCAGCCTGAGAGGGTAAATTATGATTCCTGAAAATGTATTAGAATATTTACACAAATAAATCCACGTGGACATTAAAATAGAACGCGTTATAGTGAAAATCAGGGTATCATGTTATCACACTATTAGCTGTTTAATAGTAGTAGTATATAGTCTCAGACAAACTTTATAGTAGTCTGAGTATATATAGATAATCCATGGAAAGGCATTGGGGTAATTGACAATTTGCACATAGCAACATGGTATAAACAAGATTTTTTGTGGCGTATTCTTGTGCGAGCATGTTATAGACGGTATGCCCGGGCACTTGATAGCGGATATAGACCTCTCTAGGTAACAGTACCGTTAGTTTTGTCGAAATGTACTAGAAATGAATCTGGCATGCGCCTCGCCATCTATGCATCTATGAAATATATAACGCGTGCTACATGTCGGAAAATTGAGCTTGATTACAATTTAGGATTCTGACTGAGATTTAGCCAGCCAATGAGATTGTTTTAATTTCAACCAATCAGCTCCTTTATCTTTTCACCAATCATGTACAAAGCCATATTCATTGTAACCATTCATGAACAAGGCCAATATTTACTTTGAGAATATAAATAGTAGACGAAACGTCTCTTTTTCAGTTCGTTTTGTTCGTTCATGGTTCATTCATAGTTAGTTCAATAAAGTCATCTATTGCAGTCCATACGCGGTTTATTCTTCCATTCCTGAACTTGAACCTAATCTTCTTAACAATTCCCACACTACAAGGCGGATAAATTCTCAAATGGTAGACTTGATTTAAATATTCGAATATGTTTTGTATTCGTTCGGTGTACGTTTGAACACCTTCAGTGAAAAATTATTAAAATTACAGATTATTATTACCCTACTTACCCACAATACGTGTTTTGCTCCTAAATAGAAGTTTGCTCAACATGCAGTCAAGGGACGTCAAATAAAAACGCTACTACTATCACAATATCCAACAGTTTCATATACAGTACGACGAATACAGATGATGTCATTAACGTCTAATATAGCTTGTACAATGACAATGGGTAATCCATTAAATGCTTTCAAATTATGATATATTTGATATATTATAGTTCATTTTATGCACAATTATTTCTACAAGTAACATTTATAACATCTGTTTCATCTGTTCTGTTCTTTCAGAGAGATTCCTCGAAAAAGATGGCACATTAAAACCCAAACAGGACAACTTCATGCCATTCTCTGCAGGACGACGTGTCTGTCTGGGTGAATCATTGGCTAAACCAGAGATATTCTTGCTATTCACGTCACTGTTTCAGCGATTTCAATTTTCACATGTGCCTGGTAAAGCTTTGCCACAACTAGACGGCACAGCCAGTGCTTTGATCCTCAGAGCACCTGATTACGAAGTAATAGTTAGAAAAAGATTATAGGTCAATAACCGATTGTGTGTGAATGATCATTGGTTGTTTTCCGAATCTGGGGTCGGGGAACTATTATATCCTTAGTGCTGGAGCGTTTAAACATTTGAACAATAATACACATTTTCATAGTATGTTATATATACCCTTTAAACTAATTAAGTATGCGACTTTTATGAAATTGATTAAATGTTTCTAAAATTTGAATCGTCAAAATATTTCTATTTGTATTTCTTTTAAAACAACTTTTTTCATTATTTCCACATTAAGACTTTCATGAACAATTCAGATTATTTCTCAAGCATTGTGAAAATGAAGATCAATCCGATTAGTAATATTTGATGTACTACCTTTTGTCTCTTCGAACGGTGCGTCATTACAATCGTAAATATCTGATGAATCCTTTGTGGGGAATACAAACAATAGACGTGTTGAGCAACAAACAAACTAGATTTATAAATATGCAACGACCCGATGGACGAATTAGTAGCTAGCCACGGAATCTGTACCCTCATAAAAATCCAGCCTTCTGAACTTAATGTCCAGTCCTGAATGATCAGTCTATTTGACTGGACGTCACACAAACACTTCGTGGTACTAAATGAAAAGAATGTACACAGGGTCATTAGACATTCAGATGACCTGCATTAAATAAATTAAATGTAGAAAATAGTTAATAAATATGAATTTATTGAATAAATATGCGGGAATAATCTATTTGATTCAAATAAACGTGTATGAAAATAAATTGTGTCTACGTCGATACATTGACATTCCGATGAATCGCATGGATTCCCACGACAGTATTTTGGCCTAAACCATTTTTACACATAACTACCCGGAAAATTAAACAATAAACAATAATAACGACATTGTGATCGAGAATGAAATCAAATGATAGCATTATCACTATGTTAAATGACGTCATCGTATCATGTCACCACAAAAGCTGTTTGGTGACAGCGAACATCCCCGTCACATCCCTAGTATTATGAAATAGTGGTCAGTGTGGAGTCTTTCATTGCAGTTATAATACTCGAAAATGTCTAAAAATTGAAAATATACACTCGAAAGAAAAGAAATCGATCGCGTGTTTAGCGAGAGGAAAATTGAAGACCTTCACAGGCAAATTGAACGCAAAAACACGCACTTACGTATTTTTGCAGATGAAAAAATTTGCAGGATTTACGACAAAAGAGACGGGTATTATTTGGATAGATTGAACTAACAATTGCACTTCAAGTGACCTAGGCATGAAATGTCGCCATCATTAATTTGTTATGGTGTTACGAATGCAACAGCAGAACCCACGTTCTGTATTCAGAAAATAGTTTGTTTATAGGTATGATTTAAGAAATATTTTGGAAACTAATAATTTCAGACTATGAGCGTCATAGACAAAGTGAAAAACTTGCGCCAGGAAGACTTACCTGCAAGACTGTGCACCTGAACAATGGTATCACATTCATACGTAAAGCTCTTCTAGCATCTGAGTGTTAGTACAGGGGACCTGCACGGCGATTCTAGATCCAGCAACATCTGAACTGGATGCATAGCCAAAGGATTAACACCATCAGTATACTGGTATAATATAATCTCCAATATCATCGCGTCCACTGTTCAAATACCACAGTTAATGGCCAGAGGCGAACTCCGAACAATTCGATACACTTAACAGTAAATATTTATCCATTAACACAGCAATGTCAAATCAACCCAGTTCTTCAATAAGTTTATTAATATTAGTTTATTACGAGGATAACTCAAAGTATGCACGGAGACAGTACAGCTGGAGTATCGACCGACGTACTGTCCGAATGCATACTTTGAGGTATTCTCGTAATAACTTTATTATTATACATCTTTTCCTTCCAAGGATACACCATGGGAATGCCGAAATCCAAAATGTTTAGAAAAGAATCGGCGAACATCTTTGTGTGGATTCCGGTGGCAGCCATGTTTGTTTTCATTATTAGAGGACGCTTACGCGCGTAATCATTCCATATTTGGAATTCCCAGTTCCTAATATGGTAGGATGAAAATACCCCGTATAATACCGCAAAATTACGGCACGCTGTAACTTATGGCGTTACAGTGAAAGATGTATAATAATAGTCATTATGGGTTTTGGGTTGTACGGTACGTACCCGAGTTGGTGAGGGTGCGTTAACCGTGCGACGTGGGCCGCAAAAGCAGTATCAAGTCCATGAAGTTTTATTATATTGTTGCAATTGTTATTAATCGTAATTCTACCGTTTATTCAAACATTCACAGTGCGGATTGATATTTAAGTGCCTTACCTCACAACATAAACAAGACGTACGAGCGTACTAACTGTGGCAACTCTTTTCAACAACCCCTTAGAACCCGATAAGGACGCGTAATTTCTTGAATATTGTTGAACTAGTATTTCTTGACTTAATAAACTAATTGAAAAAAGTTATGCCCATAATTACTACAATTAAAACAAAAATATGTTTGAATATTTAGAGTAGTAAAAAAATCCCACTTCCGGTCCGGTTAGACTTAAGTGGTGTTCTCACTGGACAAACTAAGCCGTTGTCACAACGCCTTTTATTTGAGAACGTTGTTAAAATGTGTGTGTGAACAGAATACGCCGTTTTGGCGTCGGCGTTTTGACACCGTCGTAAAAGGGGTGGACCAGATCCTAAACACCGTTATCACACCGGCTTTTGCACAACGCAATGTGCCATGTGAACGCAACACGACGGCTAAACGCCCTCTATCGCCGACTTATTTATACTTGTCAGTACACAAGGGGGTGTCAAAGGTTACAGGTCGAATGTCGAACTGGTCAGACGAAGAAACGAGATTACAGATATATGTATGGAGAGAATCGAATATTCAAATAATGATGGACGGAACGTCTAGAGATGCTAGAGTATATGCTGTGATTGTAGAAAAAGTGGCTGAAAAGGGGTTGGACAGGACGTCATTACAATGTCAACGGAAGATCAAAACTTTACGTATAAAGTACAGAAAAGCGACTGGGCACAACAACAGAAGCGGTAGAGATTCGGAAACATCTTGAATTTGCTTTATCTGTAAAGTGTCAACCGCAAATAGAAATTTTATTTTATGTTCTACTAAACCACCCCAAACATAGGACTCTGAATAACAGGTAGGCCCTGAAGATAGCGGTAGTATTGACGAACGAAATTCACATTGTAATATTATGCTTCCGAACAATCTTACATTTATGCTGGAGAACACAGCATACAAGTACTGGAAACTGTCAGGTACGTAGTGCAGTCAAATTAGTAAGAACAATGAAACTATACATGTACATAAAATTGTTACTACAAAATGTCAGTGAATATAATATTTGTTTTCAAATCTTGCAGCCACCATGGACATGTTGACAAACCCTAATAATCCCAGTTATGAATCTAATTTATTACGATTTTGGATGTACAGTATTCAATTGTTGTTCTGCGACACCAATAAGATCATTACTTATATTATTTCACTAAGCAGTATAACAAGAATGCATGATGCAAAGCCCACTCTGTAAATGGTCAAATGTTTCTTGGTCAAAGTTAGAAACTATCAGGACATTATCAGAGCATATGGGTCTTATTTAGAAAGTCCTGCTAGACCAAGGGCAAATTAACAGATCCTAAGATGGTATTACCAGATTAGCACCAGTTGTTTAAGACACATAAAACAATAATTCTCAACTCCGATAAAAGCAACTCATCGCGAAGCTACTAGTAAACTGAGTAAAATAAAGGTTTGATGCATGAATCATAATATTTTATGTGGTAATAGTTGAACTACTGAACAATTAAACTTAGTTGAAAATTTGAATATAGTTTAAAACAACATTATCATACAATCGGGTGCTGTTTGCATTCAATGCATATTGTGATTTGAAGATGAACGAACACAATGAGTTATTTGCATTCGAGATATTTGGTATAGTTTGAATGGTAAATTGGAAGATGTAATATTTTATGATGATTTTAGCCAGTTTGAAATTAATATTGTAAATATTGTCTAAATCACAGCTACGGTAAGTTGGCCAAAGCTTACAAATCAATGTAAATATTTTTCAACAACAACAAAGGCATGATAGCGAGAATGGCCGCCAAGAACTCGCTCAGAGCGAGAGAGCCACGTGACTCGTTTTTTCTCCAAATTGTGTTTCAATTTTCCCCATCATTGGGCAATTGTTTCTTTGACCTCTGAGCTACGTAACCATGGTATTCGAAAAAGTGGAAGCAATGAGAAGAGAGAATTGAAGACATTAAATTGAGAGGCAAAAATAAAAGAGATCTCGGCGACCATTTTCGTCTAAGACCCATTACTCCCCGTAACCAGGATACAAGCGTCAATTGCTTGTAATAGATATATATAGTTTGCGTTCACCCGTACTCCCTATTCTACCATGCTGTGCATACACATTATCATACACTAAAACCTCTCCATTTTTCATGTGAAAACCAACGGTCGTCTGCCACAGAACATCGCGAATATGTTGTACTGTACTAGGTTCAATCTCACTGCCGTCGCCATAGTAACAATGATAAGGATATTTATGATTAGGTATATCTACACCATGAAATACAGGGTGGTCTTTATAGAAGGTAGCATGATGAGTCGTAGCTTGGTTGAACCACACCCGCTCACCTGTAAACAATTACGCGGCGATATTACACAATAAGTAACCAATAATAGTAGTGGAAATATGTACAAATGATAACGTTATTTCGTTGTACAGAATAGTGGCGCCTTTGGGTACTTGAGGCTGAGTCGCAGTAGCGCAGCGGCAAGAAGCTAGAACCGAGTCTAGATACACGAGACCCTTTATTGTTATCGTGACATTTGAATATTATATTTTATTATTAACTTGATCCTGTGCTGTTATGAATGGACAATTATACAATACAATACAGTATTTCCTGCCCATCCAGGTTACATTGTCAGTTTAGTTACCTTGTCGTGCGGATGAGCTTGTGTAAATTGTACGTACTTTTTGCGGATAGTGGTTTGTATAGGACATTTCATTGTGTGGTTCGATAGAGTAAATTGATGGATCATTACCATTAGCAGTCAGTATGTTATCTGCAATCTGATGTCTTGACCCAACACCCCCGACATACGACGTGGGTTTGTAGCCCAGAAATTTGAAAAAAATTGAGAAATCCGTGGCATTTTGAATAGGCAGTCCCGTGAAAAGGATTGCCCGAAAATGTGAAGTTTCTCTTCAATGATAGAACGTGCTTTAAGTGCCCAGACATCAATATCCTCCACACGTAACCCCTCTGCAGTGGCTTCGTAAACGGCAGGTCTGTGTTTTCGTGGTGTAGCGAGATACTTCGGAAGTTTGTTTCGGACAAATGACGAGCCTGGTAACCACTATCGTCCGTAAATACGAGTGTTCATAGATGTGTCACGCCGCAGACAATCAGTAAATTTGAATCTTGATTCTGTGGGTACATTGATAGATGAAATATACCTGGTCATTTGAAATGTATGCCGGACTAGTTTTACGGTAGAAATGAGCGACATCTTTCGTTGTTGCAGTCAAGCCAATCCTCTAGGATTCCTAACTTACGTTTAGCGCGTATGCTTTTACAAATAGATAATTTCTACATAATGTAACGCACAATTTACATGTACACTGGCGCCCGGGGGACACGTGTGTAACCATTCGTCAAAATATATATTTCAATTTTATTTTTAAGTATTTGTTAATGCATGTCGATGAACACCTGTTACCGTGTGAAACACGCACGGTTTTCCAGTTGATGTTTAAACATTTGCTCTACTATATTAGTTGCTAACCCTTAAATGCAGAACTTAGCGCAATGTCTTACCAGTATATTTACGCGTGTTTTTCTGTATAGGCTACGTACATAGGATTTAGCCAAGGCACCCCCGGATAAGACATCACGATCACAGTCGACCTATCGGAGAATCAAACTTTATCGCTGTTAATTGGGTCATCGTATTCAAGAATAATCCGGTGAGTTGAGTGCATGAACAAATGTTGTCGATTAATAAAGATAGACAGTACCGATAAAACATTATCAAGCTCGTCCAATATTAGTCCATATCAGTGATACCAATCAAAGCTTGAGTGGGTCTTAGTTTCGGCAGATTTATAATCGGAGTACAAAAAATACACCCAAAACATTCTTATTAAAAAAACAATAAGCTTAATATTATAACCGGGCTCAAATGATATTTTAAATGACGCTGCGTTGTTCAATTTACAACTCAATACAAAATGATATAGCACAATAAAATCTCATTTGAAGAAAATAAACCTACATTAAATTATAACCAAAAAGTACAGTATTCAATTTGCATTGGAAAGAAAAAAATGTCAACGACAATAATACATTTAATAACCAGAAAAGTAAAAATATACTAAAAACATACAGGGAAACAACCTGGTGTGGACAACCATATACGTATTATACGCATGTATGTATGTGTAAGGTATGTTCAAAGAATGGAGTAGTCGCCTAAGAACACTTCATAATGTCATGTTCACTTTATAGCTTACAGCGGAACTAGAATGTGCTAGAAGAGACTAGCAAACATATAAACAACTTTATAAACTTAAATAATCGTACGAAGTTCCTACTGAAAAGCATAAACACTATGATCCATATATCACTGACAAAATGTATTGAAAACAAATAGTTTCCCCAAAAAACAGCAATACCTCCTTCCAAATTAACTTGTTTTAATTGACTTTTGCTTATTACAGTGTTATATCTTGAATTGAGTAAAAAAATAAAATTGTGCACAGCTTTTTCATCTAAGCATTATGTTGAATCTTGTTTTGGTTATTTGGTACCAGGCACCCAGAGTACTTGGTCGATCGAGTCAGGGTCTTTGTCACAGCAGGATGTAAACATCACGCATCAAAAACACGGCCGATTATTCGTCCTGTTGCTGAAACAATGTTCCAATCTCACGTGCGAGACTCGAACCGACGCTAGCGTACAGCATCTAATTGTTGTTTTTTTCTTCATTTATTTTTTCTTGATGAACATGCTGCAAGTTTTTTTTAAGATTTAGTCTTGCAGATTTATGGCATTTGCAAATAAATTTTTCGTAAACTCTGATAGTAAATATTTTCACCCTTTATCATTTTGTTGATTCCAGTAAAGTTTTCTGTGACATGACCTTCACCATATTCGTTATGCGTTGATATGGCATAATGAATGTCAATGTCTAACGACAATTTAAATACAGAACGCACACATGTTTTACATGAGTCTGATATGATAGTTTGATATGCAATGCCAATTCATAAATGACATTTGTACTGTACAAAGCCTTTGCCAATCTTTGATGATATAGCATTCAACCAGAATAATGGTTTTATAACTTTTTAGTAACCAGTGCAGTAATCAGATTATGGAGCTAATTACAAACGCAGATTCAATGCTTTCAGCTGTGATTGTTGTATTACAGTGTTGTTAACTATATTTTTCAGAACATCATCTGCATTTCCAAACAGTTTGGGATTAAAATAAAAAAGGTGAGAATGTCTAACATATTTCATTTTCCCAAGTCTGATCATGTGACATTATAAGGTTCTATTATGTATCAGCGAATAGTGCTGCATTGCCCAAACCATGTTGTTTAAGCTTGAGCTCTATATCAAGACCCACCTGACTATTAACGACTTTCATGTAATTTTCCGTAGGGGTTTTATTTATGGAATATGAATGAGCGTATTTTTCAGGTTTAGATATTCAAAACAATTGTGTGATGTCGCAGTTACAACAATAAAACACTAAATGATGTCACAAGATCATCAATTGTCAAACCCAGCCCACCGGAGATGCGCGGACCCCCCGGGGGCTACTTCCACATTAAGTGGGTACGGGTGTGCAGCCCACCTCTCGTAAACCACACTCACTTCTAAACCATTTTTTTCTATTTATATACCCACTTCTAAACACAAGTGTTTTCAGCAACAACAAAAAACACCAAGCTCACAACTTTCGCAACCAGTGAGCGCATCCTGGCGATGCATTTTATTTAGCCTTTTCCGGTACCTGG